AATGAGCATCCGTGGGTCCAGGGGGCACTCAGGGTTGGACGCTCACCACTGGGCTCTGGGGAGCCTGCTGCTCAACAGGGCTAGAGCCCACACACTACTCTAGGCTACAGCCTCCAAGCCTCTCATCTGTGGGGGTCACCACCAAGTTCAACCCCAGCTCTGCAATCTGCTGGACACGTGGATGCAGGCATCTGATTCGGTCCCTCATCCATCACTAATACCTACCTCACAGGGTTGTTGCAAGGGTCACAGAATGTGGAAGTCACAGCCTAGTGTCTGGCCCAGAACAGGCACTTAATGGGCAGGAGATGATGGACCAAGGGCCAGAGACCCCCTAAGCCCCCTACTTTGCACATGCTTGAGGTCCATTTCCTCGGGGCTCAGCAGGATGCTCTGAAGAACGTGTTATATTTTCCACTCGCGGTCTATCTGGGGACTGGGAGTTTATCTACCCCTTTAGACTGACCACAAACAGGACAGATACAAACTCAAAGTTACCCAGGAGACAAACTGGTCAGCAAATGACCACTTTCCTCGAAAGACTCATCCCCGAACGGGGTGGAGCACACAGAAGAATTCTAGAGTCTAGGTCCTGGGGGCCCTACAAGAAGGCCAGTCAGGGGCCCTGGCCTGCAGAACTGGGCTCCAGCTAGGACATAGCCCTCCTTTCTGTGCCAGAAGAGCTCCGAGGCTTCTGCAGAACTTACGTACCGAGAATGTGGGTGCTGGAACGAGGCTGGGGATGGGAGGGACGGTGACAAAGCGGCAGCTCCCACGTGGCCAAGGCCCAGGCCCCACCTCGGCCCCCTCCCCCCCCCCCCCCCCCCCCGCCACAACACACCTCTGGCTGAAAGCTTTGGAGCATTTTTCTCACTGGTGTCACGGGTGTAAGAGAAGTCCCGTCTCACCGGTGTGACGTGTCCAGCACACTGCCTGGCACTACTCCACACTAACTCGGCAGCCTTCTATTGACCTACATCCTTGTAGCAACTTGGCCACCGTGCCTGGCAAGCTACACAGCATATCCGTGCATAACGCCAGTGGGCCAGGGTTGGGGCTGATTCCTGGCAGGACCATCCTCAATCACACTTATTATTTGCTCAGCCAGCCACAGGCCATCCCCACGCAGTGCCCCATCACTGCAGACACTCCGGGTCCAACTGTAAGGGATGGAAACCAGGCTGCTCCCAGGAGCCATCGGCACCTTCAGTCCCCACCAAGTCGGAAGACGTGTCAACGAGGCTGTGAAGCCGGGCAACCTTCAGGCAGAAACCCTAAACCCCTGTGCACCAGGAGAGACGCCTCAAGTTGAAAGAGACCCCGTTTCATTTGAGAAACGGAGAAGGCAAAGTGGAGCGCTGCTGGAATGGTAAAGAATCCCGTGGTTTTCCGCACGTAGGACGGGCAGGTTCGGGGACGATGTGGGAGGAGCAGCCGAAGAACCAAGCGCAAAAAGAGTCAGCAGGCAGAGGGGTCTGGAAGCCACCACTCCCTCAAGGGCCCTAGTGGCCTGATGTGTAAATGGGGAAGACCGCTGCGGGGCCAGCCTCTCTGCCCCGCTTGGAGCCCAGCCGCCCTTACCCTGCAGCCAAACACCAAGGCGGTGGGGTGGAGGGCTGGGAGGGACGTCAGCCAGAGGGCGACAGAGGAGCCGGCCAAGAACTCACCTCGCTCCAGCTCAGTCACCCTCAGCAGCAGAGCGTTCAGCGCGCTCTCAGTCTTCTGCCGGTGAGCGGAGGTCTCATTGTGAAGCAGGGACTTCTCGTCCTCCAGCTCGGCCACCTTGCGCAGCAGCTGACTCTCCAGCTCCCCCAGTCGCCGCTGGAGGACCTCTCGGAAGTCGCCGGGCAGCACCGCGGTGGACACGTTCACTCGGAGCTGGTGCTTCCAGTTGGGGAGAGGCACGCGTGAGGAAGTATTAAGGCCATTTAGACAGAAATTGTGAAACGCAGCTCTAAAAGCCCAACCACACAGGGAGAAGCTTCCCAAACGGGAGCGTTAAACCGTGCCAAGGGGCGCACTTCACTGATGCTTTTTTTCTTCTTTTGTATGGAAAGGATTTCAAAGTCAAACAAGAATTACCCTGCTGCAATATCTGAAACTTAGGAATTTCATTTTTCTCTCTCAGAAAGCTGGTTTTCTCCTCTTGCTAAAAAGTCAAAATTTTAATCACTATCCACCATTCTTGGGTTAAGACTGCAACAGAGCTACGACTAAAAAAAAAAATTGCTTATCAAATGGTACTCAAAGCTGATGAGCCTTCATCTAGAAATGAAAACAGCTTCCAAATTCCCGTGTGGCAAAAAGGTGAATAACCATGCTTGCCAGAGATGTTACTGGAAACCGAGAGCTCTAAAACATGACACTTCTGAATTCCAGGAATCTCTGCTTTTAATGCTGTTTCTAAATCCTCACTTCCTCTTTATTTTACTCCTCTACCATCATGTTGGCTCTGGAGGCACACTGCCACTGCCTAGCCATGAATCCTTGGCAAGCTATGTACCCTCTCTCTAAAGCATTCCGAATTGTAAAATGCAGTCAGTAGGATCTGCCTCAAAGGACTGTTGTAAGGGTTAAAATTAGACAGCACGACTGGTGCATATTTAGTGACTAGAAACGTTCGCTGTTGTTAATCATCATGAATCAGGGAATATACAGATGCTGAAAATACTGTATTTAGCCATCATGCCGCGGGAAATCCTCAAATAATTTTGCAATAATTACCACCTGTAATTGAAACCTAGTTTCCCTAATAAGTATTCTGGTAAACGTTTCCAACAGAAACATCCACGCTTCTTAAATAGGATTTGAAAGTGAAGATGAAGTTACATGAGAATTTCTTTCAAAGTTCCAAACTGCATACGCCTTCCAAGAAAGCACGGAGTAAGGTTCCTTCTCCTTTGGAAGGGCACCTCAGAAGGCCGCAATTTGTGGACAGTGTCTTTGAAGTTAACGGGGTTTCCTCCAAGGCGCGAACTGGTGTGGCCCGTGACCCGCCCGCGATCGCCCCCGGCAAGACCCTCAGGTCTCCGCCCGCTCGGGTCCAGCCGGAGCTGATTTATAAAAGGAGAACACGGGACGCCCAGGGCAGCTGACCTCACGCGGCAGCCTCATGTCACCGGGCACAGCTTTTGGGAGCGCGTCCGGCTCCGGGGGACTCGGAGATCCACAAGAGGTTAGAGGTTCGCTCGCTGGAACCTCGGTAAGTGACTGTCCACACGGCGGACAGTCCCGGCGCACGGGGAGGGAGTTAACCCCTTCCTTCCAGCAGGAAGCGGGGTGGGGGCGGACTGCGAGCCACCCAAGTAAGTTGGCGAGCAGGACCGAGAAGCCCTCCCCTGACCCCAAGCGCAGCTCGCCCTGCGTCCGGGCCCGCCCAGGCTGGCAGGCAGGACCCTGCGCCCCGCCTCTGCCCCTCTCCTCGGATCCTCCCCCCACCAGAACCCCCGCACCCGGCTACCTCGAGGCTCTCCAGGCGGTCCTTGAGGGTCTGCAGCGAGCGGCTGAGCTGCTCCACGACGTGGCCGGGGTCCCGCGGTAGATCGCCCATGGTGTCCTTGCCCGCGGCCGCCCGGCCCGGCGCCTTGCCGCCCGCCAGCCCCTCGCAGCGCGCCAGCTTGCCCGTGAGCTCGCGGATGGCCTCGCGCTGCGCGCCCAGCGTCTCCTTCTGCTGCACGACGGTCTCGCGCAGCTGCAGCACCGCGGACCGCAGCTCCTCCTCGGG